GATTTAATATCTAAAAATTAATATGTAAATTGAAATGGTGGCAGGCTAGAAGATGAAGACCATCTGTTTGTTCTTTGTCCAAAAGTACAGAACCTTTGGATGAGATGTTACAATTGGTGGGGTATACCTCTTGCTCTTCCTGAATCGGTACAGCCTTTGAGCAACTTCCATAGTCAAGGAATTAAGAAATTTGTGAAGACTGAGGTTTGGTACTTTATATTTCTGGTGGTGGCATGATCAATGTGGTTTATGAGAAATTTTATGGTTCACAACTCCAACCCTTGGGATGAAGATATGCTATTTGAGATGATTAGAAGGTGAACCTATGCTATGTGCTGTAAGTCAGAATGTAATGTGTTTTCCTACCATGAATGGTGCACTGTGCATTACTTCTGTGCTCAGGAAACTTGAAAATAGAGGGTGCCTTGGATGATGCAGCAGTGTGCATCCTAATAATTGTTGTAGGGTTTTGTATTACTATATCTGTATGAACCAACCAACATGTTTTGTATTCCTCTATCTTGGCATTGTGGATTACAGTAACAATTAGATTTATGTAATGGCATACATGGGTACGTAGGAGTACCACTTCTACTCCAAATTAATAGAATTTTTTATTCATCTAATAAAAAGGAAATGGTGGCGCGCAGGCTAAAAACTAGAATTACAGTTTCTAGTTCCTAGCAGCGAAGCTTTTGCAAACCCTAAAAGACATGTTTGAGAAAAGCAAAATGCACCCAAATGGATTTGTTCCAGCAGCAAAGCATATCATGAGAGTCATTCTTGATATTTCATCAAAAGAAATGAACTCAAAGACAAATAGGAAGAAAAAATCCAAGCAAATAGTAAGATTTCCTAATGGCACTGAGGAAGCACAGATCCACATTTTTGATCGACCAAGTACAGATGCACAGAATGAGCAATTTATGGAAGAGGAACAAAAAAAAAAAAAAACTTGCAAAACCTGTCTATTGATCAACATATATAGTAAAAGAAATAATCAATTGAAGAACTTGGTTAGTATAGTAAAAAAGAACATACTCAGAGCTTGAGAACTTATAAAGTCTTCCATTTTGTGAGAAGATGATAACTGCAACTTCGACATCACAGAGAACAGATAACTCAAAAGCCTTCTTAAGCAGGCCATTTCGACGCTTCGAGAAGGTCACTAGTCTGCTTGCTCCATTCTCGATCCTTTTCATCACAATTTTTCCTCTAACCATCTTCTACTTTATCATCAGAGTCACGTCAATCAGTAACCTTAGACGAGGATCAGATTTTTTTTTTTTTTTTCAGGAAAAAAGACACGAATACTCACCAAAATTGAGGAAAGTTTCAACCTTTGCAAAGAAAAATTACAAATACTGAAGAGATTAATAATGGTAACCCAGAGGAAGTTTTTAAAAGCACAGAAAAAGAAGGAAAACCCAGAAAGAAAGTATCCTAAATTTTCTAGGAAAGAAACGAGGTTTCATCTTTCCAGGTGCAAAGAAAGGAGGACAAAAGAAATAAAAATACTGGAAAAGGCCAAAATATGCTAGGAAACTAAACAGCAACCACTCTGGAACATTCTTGGGAACAAAGGGAGGAATCAAAGAAGGGAGAAGTTCAGAAACCCTAGAAAGACGAGCAGAAACGCATAGGAGCTAGCCCTATCTTTATACTCAACGCACAAAAATCCTCATTTTCTTTCCATCCTCGTCTTTCCCCACAAAAAGATAAAAAAATCCTTACCCAATTAAAAGCATTTTAACTCATCTTCCCAACCTTTTCTGGTAATATTGAGAAAAGAAAAAGGAGAAGACGAGAAAAATGGACGGTAAACATCCAACAAGGGAAAAAGGACAGTAACAAAAAAATAGTAGTATTTCACGTCAACATCAACAATGATGTGCGCAATGGGCCAACGGTGTCTGGAGAACGCATCACGTTAGATTGACCAATAGGGGAAGCGACCAGGTCACAGGCTTGCCTTGAATGGATTGGCTAAAACCAATAGGGGAGGCGACCGGGTCACGTTCGCTCTTGTTTATAAGTAAAAATTTCAGAAAATATTTCCATTCCTCATTCAAAAATAATAATAATAATAATAATGTAAGCTCTATTAAAAAGTTTAGTTAAGGCAACCCTCATCAAATTAAAAATTTTGATTTAACATAGTTTTAAACACTTGCAATACTAGGTAATTAACTCTTAATACAAAAAAAAAAAAAAAAATTATGCAAGACATTACTAAGGAAGATGTGTCATCTTCATTACATTCCTAATGTTAAAACAAATGATTTAACAAAGCTTCTTGGCAATTTTATACTCTTAATTATACTTTTATAACTTGTAACATATTAGAGCATATCTTGTGCTTCCTTTAATAATACTTATAATCTTTTTCATTGATTGCAAAATATATATATATATATATGTGTGTATATAATAAGTGATATAACATGTCCATACAACTTTAAAAATATTTTGTGTAATCAGAATTATATACTAACTATTATATGAAGCAAGCATCTCAAATTCAATAATTTTAATTATACAAAATGCCACATCTCATATTGCAAAAGTAGTAACTTATAAAAAACTTTTATGTGCATGTATTATTAAGGTATAACTTTTTCCTATTTATTTATAATTGTTGGATTTGGTAAATAATTATGTATGTTACTGTTGTTTGGTTGAGCTAATGTACACTAATTTAAAAGTTTTTACTTAAGCTCAAGATCATAATTCAAACCTTTTAAATACCAAGTACTTAACTCTCACTAATATGCAAAAAATATGTGTATCACCATGTGGAATGTGTCAACCTATAATTATATGTTATGCAACTCGTGAGTGCTATATTAATAATCTTCTCTTTTAACAATTAATTTACCTAAAAATTAGAATAAATTATTTATTCAACTTTAGTTGACCTAATTTTTTTTTTCCAACAAAATAAGGATGTAAAAATAATTAATAAAACTTTATATTTATTCCCAATTAGCTACTACTTAGATAACCATCATTATAAAATATGTTGTAACTAACTAATTATGCTCTTAAAATAAGGGTAAAGTATAAATAAATGCATTTAATGACAATTTTAAAATGAAAAGTGAAGAATTAATTTTAAACACCCAAATTAAAAACTAATTCAACTATAGCTGAATAGAGAAAATACTTAAATTTAGAAAGAGGGTGAATAGTGACTTGTGGCTTCTGTTGAAGAATTTTTCATTAAAACATTGATTAGTATATCATCCGATTCAATACATTTCATGATATACTCATTAAAAAATTATTATATTTTAATTTAAAATTAAAATTAAACAAAATAAAAAATGTAACTATACATATAGCATGCATTAATCCCCTGAATAGTTTGTTTTTATATTATATTTTAATAATTAAAGTAAACAAGTATCTAAGAGTGTGTTGAATAAAAAGATATAACAATCATTAACCTTTTTATTATGGTCAAATTGCTGAGGAAATTTAACCACCAAAAAAGGCTACTGGGGAAATTTGACTGATGGATAAAAAATTTAGAAAATTTTCATTTTAAAAGAGGGTTTTCTCAATATGATTTTATAATTTTACTTATACTGGAAGTGGCGGGTTGGAGCTGGATGTTGCCATTTATATGTATAGGTGGATTGGTCTTAGGTTTCTTTGTGTCACCAATCACCATGCAGTTTTCGTTTCGGGCTCTCAATTTGGAGGCTGTTGCCTGATGGCGCCACTAGTTGAATGCTAATTTTGGGAACAATAACCTCTAATTTCTTTTGCTCTGTTGGTAAAATCTAAGTGCATGTATGGTATGGTAGTTAAAATTCAGTAGATGGTAGGTAACAAGTAACGGATAGTAAATAGTAGTAATGGGAAGCAGATAGCATTTAACAGATAACAAATGATAGATAACAAAAAGTAAATAGCAAATGATAAATAGCAAATTCGATAAATAAAATTATTTGATTATGCAATAATTAATGATTATTGTTCAATATTAAATGACTAATAAATACATGTTTAAAAATAATTAAGTATATTTTTTTA